AAAGAAGGGAGGCTAGGTTTATGAAAAAAGAGATTTTAGCTTCGATACTATAATACAATTTGATAACATATAATTGGTCTAATTGATTATCGAAAATTACATCATATATGTATAGAGAATACATGTAGAATCTTATTTGGAGTAGAATAACAATTGTCACTCTTATTCCTAATATGAATGTTAGACAATAATAATAATATTATTACTAATTATGATAGTATTTTTTATTAGTTAATTAGCTTCTATTATTAAATTGATTTCTACTTGTGTTACGAATGTTTCCTATATATATTTTATTGTATCTTTCATTTTTCTTTAAGTAAATTTATTATTCCATTATTCCAACATTCACCGATCGATTCAGTTTTTTGGAGTTCAACTTTGATTTTTTCGTTTAAAAATATATTTTTTTATAAATTGAACGTGTGTTGTAAATTTTTTTTTAAAAACATTGTCTTATAAAGTACTATCTTTGTCTTAGTAGGTATTTGTCTAGTTTAATTTTTTTTGTATCAAACTCGATAAACTTTGTAGCTCAATTAAATAAAAATTATAATGTATGTTAGTATAAAATGATTTCATTATATTTATCATGTTGTGAAGTCTCGAGAATTTCATTATATATTTTTATTCATATACCCTACATATTGTGCATAATTTATGACTAAAGTTCATTCAATTTGACTCAAAACTCAAACTCTACGTATCATGTAAATACGGAGTATTAAAAATGTGCTTGAAGAAATTTAAAACATTAAAATTTCTCATACAAATATGTAAATTATCAATTACTCCATCCGTTTCCAATTTTATTATAAATTGGGGTTTACGGGAAGAAATATTTCACTTATTAGAAGTGAGATATTTACAAATCGATATATTGGTAAGAAATAAATTACATATTAAAAAACTATGTCAAAAGTTATATAAAATAAGAGCTGACAAGAGTAAATTATTTTATCAAATACTTAATGAAATCGCGTAAACAAACAAATGTTATCAAGAAGATACATAGAAAAAAGTGTAATCAAATTAGGGACGGTGGAGTATTAATGTTCATATTAATTAAGTTATTAGTGCTTAGAACTTCTTCCTTGGCTTGAGTGGTAGCAAGCTTACCCAGGATCGAGCCCCAGCGAAAACAGTAGCATTGGCTCTTTGTGCGTTATTAGCTTGAGAATAGTATGAACAGATGCTACCTTGTAATAGAGTCAATAGCATTAAAAAAAGAGTTATTAGTGCTTATATTCTTTGATTTGTTTATATTCTTTCATTTTCAGAATCCGCAGCAGAATTTCATGACGACTCGATCAGCCCAGTTTCTCTTCGAGGGGCAGCAACTCGACCGGGATGCCACTGATAACAATGCATTGACCGTCCTGTTCGGTGCCGCGCAGGGATCAGCAGCATCATTGGCCCTTGCAGCGGCGTTAGAAGCGGCGGCGCCCTCAATCAGCGAGGACGCGGCGACGGGCATGGTCAAAATACGCGGGGGCGAGGGAGATTCAATTCGACGACTGGCCGGCGACCCTCAATTAGGTTTTTACCCTGGAGTTCTCCAAATCCGATCCTACTAAATCCCTGTATATTTGGGTCAAAGGCCCAATTCCTCCCATACCCATACGAAGCCCAAGCATAGTAACATACGTTCCTGTTTCCCACACGCAGGAACCTACCCAACCCAATCCACAGCCCATAAACAATACCGACCCTACCCCCTACCTTGTCCACCCAATGCCAATGGCGGATCAAGAAAAAAATATGACTAGTAGCAAATACACACTATAGAGTATGGTGAGATTCAGGGGTGGCACTCCCGATTTTTTTAAAGCGTTTGACAATGATAAAAAATAAACAAATTTAATTTCAAACAAGTATTCAAATAAAAAAATACTTTTAAACTAGAAAAATAAAATATACTCCGTAAAATATATCATAACATAATATAATTATGATATTTCAAATTATACATGTAGATCCACCCTTGCCCATGCCCATACCAGGTACCCGAGCCCCGCCCCCCACCTACACCTATGGGCTTGCCCACTCATGGACACCTGAGTCTACGACTCTCTGTGACTCTACGTGGTTCATTGACAATGAAGCGCAATGGCAAATCTAGAAAATAGGGGGATCGAGAATGAGAATTGAGCAGGGTCTGGGATGTTCCCAATTTTTTCTCTCTAGAAGACAACGTGAAACGGTGCATATAATGCTAAATTTTATCTCAATGTTATAAATTATTGTGTATAAATTACAACTAAGTAAAGAAATACTTTTAGATTTCGAAATTATACATAAAAAGATTACTAAAACCAATTTCTAATTAAAGTATTGAAATGTTTTGACCTGTTTTTAAGATTGAGAAAGGTTAATGGGGGCATAATTGTTTTTTGGTGGGGGCACTAGTGCTTTTCTTATAAAAAAATTGCATCATAAAACTAATTATTTTTTAACAAAATTCACAAGAGGCAAGTGCCCCAGTGCCAATACTCTCCATCCGCCTATGTCGAAGCGTAAAGGCCAGAGGGTCTACGGTCACTAAAAGGAATAGAGGAGAAGAGGTTATTGTGAACGCTCTCGTACTATATGAAATTGTTAATTTTCTTGCTAATGAATGATATTAGGTATTTTTATCCTAAGAGAGGTTTACATTGATCGAGTAGAACTCGGTCATCGTCTAATATTTATAATAGTTAGATCACCTTGGTTTTTATGACACTGAGAATCGTCAATGTAATGAGATGATCCGAGGTCCATACGGTATTTCGTTCAAAGAATTGATGGATTCTACCCCCTAACCCTCGGTAAACCCTCCTCCCCTCACTCTGGATTGACTAATTGAACCCACAAGATTTAGTTGCCTTTAAAGTTTTTGAGTCAAAAAAGTCAAATAAACTTGGTGGTGGTGGTGCAATTGAGGGTGTATCGGGGATAACAAACATCACATTTTTCGAACGGAGCACTGTCAGTGCCTAATCGGGGCCCATGTCATAAGATGAGATGAAGGCTCATGTCACCTAAACCCCCTAGTTGAGTTATCATCTACAATAATAATCATAATCATTTATATTCAACAATATAAATAATTTTTGTAAACGTGACTCAAAAATTGAGATTAGTGTGCAATTTCAAGTCCAAATAATATTTCTCTTAGCATCATCTCTTGAGAGCACTCAAAACGGAACAGGTTTGCTCAACTTCAGACAAATGAGTATTTGACTTATGGGGTTAAAGAATGATCTTTGAGAAGGTGATTATCCATTGCAGGATCGCCCCTTAATGATTAAGGGTGTTTTTTCCTCATAAACCCATACGGCCCATACTAACAGTGAGAAGTGAGAAAAACAAAATAAACCAAAATCTGCTTAAAACGAGAGTCAATAGTCAAGATTGCGTCCAATTATTCTAAATAAAGAGTTAAGCATGATAAATCAAATAATCGAATAGTATTCACACGGCCACTCATTTTATTGGGTGTTTGGGAATAATAATGTTAATCATCATTAATCATTTAACCATCATAGTCAAAACAAAATGTCAATGGGTTGAAATGTTGTGATATGCGAGTTACTCCCTACCCGGTCTTTTTTTGTCTTCGCATTTCTATTTGGATACTCGCTTAGGGCATAATATTTGTTTTGGAGAGGAGGGAAAAAAAATGACAAGTGATGGAAATGAACTCCACTAAAAAGATTTCAAGCCCCGCCTCACGAGTCCCTGGACGTCAGTTACGACAATGTCGCGCGTTCCTTCCCCGTGAGGGGTAAGGGCATTAATGATAGCCTTGAATTGTTCAGCAATGGTCCCAATCTATTCGATGAGACATTGGCTTGGGCTTCACCTCTAGTTACATGTGGTCGCTGACTACCGCCTGCTTTAATCACGCCTAAATCCTAAATCATATATATATATATATATATATATATATATATATATATATATATATATATATATATAGTACCTAATACTCCGTATCTTTTCTTTTGTGTATAGTTTTCACAATTTCACATTTATAAACTACATGCAAAAGGCAAGTAAAAACATTATCTATTTAATCCTACAAATTAAATGGAGTTTTAAAATGGAAGGTTGCACATAGCCTTTACCTTTACAAAAAATTGGTTGGCAAAGAATTAAAATTCAAAAATAAAGAAAGAAGAGAGAAAAAAACGAAAAAAAGCAAGCAACATTAAGCCCTATTTTTCACCTTTTCTGAACCAAAAGAATGTTACACAACCAAATACACAACAAAACTAAATCACTACTAGTTTAGATATAGTGTCTCTCTTATGCTCCTTCGACCCTTAAAATTTTTGAAAGACAAAAGAGGTGGCCCTAATAATGTACTCATAATAAAAGTTAGAATATGATGTGTACGATAGATGAATAATAATTAGAAAATAATATAAAAATTACTTTTCTTAAAACATGTCATTATAAGAAAGAGAAAGTAGCTAATACTCCGTAATTTAGTATAAGTGCTCAACTAGACGTACTTAACACCAATGGAATAACAGATGAAGTTTTTCCTCATCCATCCTCCTTTTGTTGTGCATGGATTTGAGCATCTCTCTTTTTCCATATATTTCCTCCATCCGGAAATGATCTTCTCACTTCATTTTTCTTGGTCAAAATTTGTAAAGTTTGATCTCGATATATGAAAAAATTACATTGTGTTTCGATATAAATATAATATCAATATTTTCTTATGAGAGTAGTATTGAAATAAAAAAAATTCATAAAATATATCCAACTGTAATTGTAAATATTAATTAATAGTCAAAGTGTTACATTGGCGATCGTGAAAATTCAAATGGAGAGATCATTTCGGAACAGAGGTAGTAACAAAACAAATTGCAGCCAACACTATAATCGAAGTCTGCCTTTTCCTTTTGACTTTCACACACAGGAAGCCATCTTCTCCCTGCTAGAAATTGTGTGCATCCCAGTAGTTTCCAAACTAATTAGATACACCCTCATGAAAACCCTGTAATAAAGGGGCATTAGTAGCATTATTCTAACAGAGGACACAACATTTTCCAATCTACAGAACTTACTAATCCTCACCTTAGTTTGTAATATGATTACCAAGATGAGCTAGATGATGAATTATTGCTTAGGGATAGAAAATGTGTTCCAGATTGATTATCTTAATTGTATTCAGAGTTCTTAGTGTTATTGCCCATTAACCAAGGATACCCTTCAAAGTGCTTGGTACTCCCTATTTGCATCCAATAGGGTGCTGCGATATCCGAGGCACAATCTCCCACGTCTCATTCTTAAGATGTGCTTGATACTCAACATCCATAGCTATTCTCCAACGAGAATACTTGAGACCCTGGGTAGCGGATTTGGGTTCAAGAGACTCTGGGAAAGGATGAGAAGTAGTAATATGTGATGGAGGCCGGAGACCCCATAAAAAACTTGGGATTGAAGATCCTGGTGTTTGGACAGCGTTGACGAACAGGACGCAGCTAGTTGGGAGGTATACATGGAGGAGTGGGTGGAGTAGGACATTGATATGTACATTGTGATGTAGAATACCAAATAAAAACACAGAAAAAAATTAGGTTGGAGTTTGGAGGTGTTGTATGGGCGTAGTCAATGATAGCCTAAACACCGAAATGGTTGAAGTTTCATGTAGTTTAGGTCAGTTTCTGCATCCTTAAATGCATATGGCCAATAACCAAGAGGCATGGAGGCGTGTATTAAGGTTAAACGTGTTTCAACCACATGACGACGGGGCGTTTGGAGGTGCCATTATGTCCCAGCGTGTGAGGTGGGGTGGTGAAATGTGACACACCATGAGATGCAAGAAAGGAACGCAATTTGATATATTCACCACTATTATGAGAGTAAAGAGAAAGTATTTTCCGGTTGAAAAATTTTTCCACCATTTTCTTATAGATGGGGAACACTGTGGTTACATCAGATTTGCACCAGAGAGGATAAAGCCACACATATATCTGGAAATGATCAACAAAGATGACATAGTATTTGTAATCATCAATAGAGATATCATTGCATGGAAATACATCAGAATAAATAAGTTCTGATGGAACAGTATCAACTAAAGAATTTTCTAAGAGGGGTAATTTATGACTCTTGTTTATTGAACATGAAGGACAATGAAAGGTCTCGAAATCAGTTTCGGGGACCTTTTTATTACAATAATTCAAAAGTTGAGATAGAACTTTAGTTGGTGGATGCCGAAATGAGTGGTGTAGATCGGAGAAAACTGATGCGTGTTAGGAGAGTCAACCTGACCAGCATAGTACCCCACTCCAAAAATTTTATTATGAAGAAGAGGTGCCCCCGTGCTCAAATCCTTAACCACAAAAGAGCAAGCAAAACATTCAATAGAAACATGATTACTCTAACATTGTTTAGAAACAGAAACAAGATTTATTGTCAACTAAGGAACACATAAGGCATTCGTGAGGGCAAGGGAGATGGAGGAAGTTGTAATAGTGGTGGTACCAATGTGAGAGATAGAAAAAATCTTACCATTACTCAAACGAATCTCATGAGGACCCCATAACTAGGGAAAGATCAAAGATACCAAGGAGCAGGAGCTGTATGATGACTGGAACTCCTATCAAACATTCAATCATTGACACCATCAGAGTTGGCAGTGGTGGCATGAGCGACTCGAATGGAAATGGAATAACCTGGAGTCGGCAGTGATTGCGTGCTGTTATCGTGCAAGATCTTAGCCAATTTACGGAAAACCTTAAATCAATGGCCACGGATAGAACAGAAATGACACGAGCTAGGTTGCCCATCAATGCGTCAAGTTTGCTAGAAGGACTCGTGCTGATAGCGTTCATTGAACATCAGAAGTGTGATGTTTGACGAAAAGCTAGCAGAAGATCCACCACACACAGCCTAGACGTAGAAGAACTTTTAGTAGCATGTGTCGTTGCTACCACTAAGGCAGCTCACTCATCTGTGAGTTTAAGTGTGCCCTCAAAATCTTGTAAAATATCTCCCAGCTCCGTAAAAGGAGATGAAGAACCCCAGATATAAGCAGCCGACGAAATAGGGTCATAATTAGGCCCAAGTTGATTGAGAACATCCATAAGATCTTCTTCTGCAACAAGACTCCAATTCAGAGTAAGTTCATTCGTAATCGAATGCATCTCATGAAGATATTCATTGATCACCCATTTATTGAGAGGACTTTTTTCAAGTTTAGTCTTGAGGGCAAGAACATGGCCACAACTCGCACTCGTAAAACTAGAGTGGAGGTTAAGCCAAGCCGTACAAGCAGTGTTGACATTGGAGATGAGAGGTTGATTGGTTTCCATGCAGCTATCGAGGATAGCACCGACAATTGCCTGATCTTGGAAGAATAGATATAATGGCATGGGTTTGCCACACCGTCAATCGTTGGGGAGAGAGTAATGAGTGTTCCACCAACATAGCCAAGAAGATCAAGGCCAACCTGTGTGGAACGAATTTGACGCTGCCAAATAGGAAAATTGGTGGTAATTAATTTTATGGAAAAGTGAGTTTTTGCTTGAAGTTGAACCACTGAGGTATCCTTAGTAATGGTATAGGTCATGATGGAGGTGCTGCGGAACACACAGGCTGAGTCGATCAAGAAGATGATCAGAAATTGATGAAGGATCAAATAGAGAGAATTCTATCAACTCTTTCATATCATATAAAGGAAAGGGTCAAACTTACTTTCATTAGTAACAAAGAGAACATATATATATGCAGCAGTGCTACAATCGATCCTATAACTCAGGAGCAAGGCATGCCAATTAGAGAAATACTAGGAATACACCATTCTAGATACAAGGAGAAACATACAAAAAGGAAAGTATTAACACACTACAATAAATAAGTATAGAGACTATTTATTTATCCTTAATACAAGTCCCTCTGCTGAATCTATCATCCATTTTTTCCTTTTGTTGATACAGTTCTAGCTTTGAAGTTGCATGCATTGTAGTCTCCTTGATGAAGTTGTTGCAAGGAGCCTGCCTATCTTCATATCTCAGGGCAGTGTAACTCTATCAGATTGCCCAACATATGATTCTTGGGTGAATGTTGTTACAGTGAAATAGGCAGTGAGTTGTCTAGTTTAGGGCCTTGCGCAAGAGTGATAAAATGATTCCATACCTGCCAAGCTGAGTTAGAGTGAAATATGCAGTGATCTATATTGTCTTCATTCTTCAAGAAGATTCCACAATGCCTAGCCAAAGAGAGATTCAATCTATTCAGGTTACCACTGAAAGGGAGTATAATTTCTAGAAGTTTCTAGAGAAACATGCTGACCTTAGGAATTTGGTACTTGTGCCAAAATATTAATCTTGTGGCCTATAACATTAAGAAACAGCTTAGAGAAGATACCATACCTTAAATTTTATTCTGAAAGAAGCTCTGTAATGGAAACCAGAATTATATAATTTGAGAATATGGCACCGAAACCAATTGTGCTTCAGTTAGATCCATCAAAAGTAGCACAACAATGGCGGAAACACATTACAGCAAGGTAAGGTGGTTGCCATACATGCATTTTTTAAGAAAACACAAAATGACCCTGTTTTGAGTATTACAATTAGGTCAAAAACAATGTTGTGTAGGACCTTTCTAATTACATCCCTGCAATAGAAAAAGTCTATGAACCATGAGTCCATTTGAAATCTCTTAAAATCATTATCATCATCATCATACATTATTGCATATCATGAGACACAATGTGGACAAGATGTTAGATATATTCTAATGTCATAGAATACGACCTTAAGTAAAACCTCAAATTGGAACAAGTATTGTATACGTTATATATTCATAATCCTTTCTAAAATTGGAATTTTCATTTTCTTGTTTAATCCCATGGCCTGAGCATAACTAGTCATTTTAATCATTCATTATCTATCTTTTCTAAATATAGCCATCATTTTTGTCAAGATGTTGCATTTGTAGTCCTCAATGTTCAGTTTCATATTCTTTGCTCTTATGTTTTCTAGTTGTTCATGCAGTTTTCCTAGACTGGTTTATGGAACAGTTGGCAGAGATAAACACGAACAATACCATAAAACTTCAAACACATACTATTGAGGATTACAATGCAACAAAACTTAGAAAAATGTTTTTAAAGTACACAACCACAACAAATACAATTAATTCTACACAACTCAAGAGTTAAAGACTTAGCTTTTCCTTTCATTGACAAAGTACAGTACTATAACCATACACTAATAGTCCATCCATCTCAATTTGTCTATCTCACTTGGTAACACAGACTCAAATAAAGATATTCAAAAATTATTTTTTTAAACACTTATAGCATGCTTGACTTAGTGCATCGATGGAAAACTAAAAAATGCAGAAGACACTTTTTTTATGAAGTGGTAGAAATAGAGACAAGTGGAGGTTTTATTAGTACCCTTTAGCTAAAATTCTCTTTAAATTTATAAATACATTTTTATACATTTTTTGGGATTTGACTCATTCAACTTTGTGTGTGTGTGTGGGGGGGGGGGGGGGGGGNTACAAGGATAACTTCAAGACAGAACAACCAAAATGCTTAACTCAATTCACCACAAGAGATTCACCAAGCACGTACCACAAGTGCGGTAGTTGTGGTATTAAGTATGAAATAGCCCTAAGACACAGAATGAAGTTAAAAACTTCATAAATAAGTATTCCCTCCCTTCACCAAAACGGTTTCTATTTTAACTAATAGGAAAAATACTGATCTGAGTGTATATTTGTAGTTGACTTTCCAATTTTGCTCTTGATGTGATGGGTAAAAATAAGATGTAATGGGTAGATTATTAGTCCACAAATATGATGTGATAAGTTGGATAAGAAAAAGAAGAGGTAAAATTAGTTTTTTAATAGAAAGTGGAAGTGTTTTAGTAAAAGAAACAAAAAATGAAAGACGAAGGATTTTGGTAAACGGAGGGAGTGTAATATTTCAGTCTTTGGTAGTTCGGAAAGTAACATCAGGAATTGCAATTTTAGAGAAGTTGCTAATGTGGACTTGATTTTAAAGTTTGATACTAAAGTTTACTTCAAAGAGGGGGGGCATCTCAGACCATTCTCCCATTTTTATTAGACACATTGAGCATAGGAAACATGGACACGATTTAAAATTTTGAGACATGTGGACCTTGGACCCATAATTTTCTAGCATAGTTGCTGAACTTTAGGATTTGGACCATAAAGGTTATCTGATGCATCAAGTTATACAGAAACTCAAGCTACTCAAGGGTCCATTACAAAAACTGAATAAAGAGATGTTCCAACACCTCTCTATACAAGTTGATGAAAACAGAGAAAAACTCTACAAATAAAAAGTGAAATAAAGATTGATGTCAATAATGAGGCTCTTACAGATAAAGAGATTAGGTTACCAAAGCCATATAGGAATTCTTTCACAAAGGTGATTTAGTTTAATATTTAATAATTACGCATAAAAACATGTCAAGGAAGTCACATACTATCGGTGTGTTCTTCAATTTGAGGGTTTGTTTTCTTGTATCACATGCATTACACAAGTAAGCATCTCACTTTTTTACACATAAGACGTTTTGCATGCACATATGAGATAAACTCAGTTGGTTTTGGAATCAGCTTTTCTTTCACCTCTATGAGGTTAACATAATCGGTCCTCAATTGAAGAATTCTTCGTCCATAGTCCATAATAGCACAATGTTCAGTCGGCCAATCCATACCAAGGATAATTTCAAATTCCTTGTTTGGTAATTCAATGAGGTTTGCAGGGAATTGTCACTCTTGGACAATAAGCAGACAATTTTGATATACATGATGTACTCGTATATTGTATCCTAATGGGTTAGACACTAGTATAGGATACTCTAAGTTTTCCTTTAGAATATCAAACTCATCAGGCAGAGGCACACAAATATAAGATAGTGTAGATCCAAGATAAACCAATACATGCATGCCTATATCGAACAAGGAAAACATACCCTGTATGACATTAGGGTTTTCCTCCACGTGACCTTCATGGAATAGGTACGTGCAGGAGCTCAACCTTGCTACTGGTTTTTATTCTTAGGTGGGTTAGATCCTGACATCGAGCGTTTACTGGGTGTTGGACGTGTTGAAGCTGACTGACTTACGACTAGAGCATCTGGGAAAGGTTCACCAGGATTTTAAGGGAAATCCTTTTTAAAATGTCCAGGTTTCCACAACCGAGACACTTAAACTTGCATGTTTCGTCTCCAAACTCTCTTTGTAGTTGCTCAAATCTTTCTCCACCTTAGCAATCAAGTCATACGCGTTAGAGAAATCCACAATAGGAATGATAGACACATGCGGCCTAAGGTCAGGTCGAAGCCTTTTCGAAACTCCTCAATACGGTCTACCACAGTGCCCTTTTCGAAAAAATTTCTATCAGTACTCAGGGAATGTCATATCTCCTTGCTTCAATTCAACAAGTTCAACACATTTCTCCTCACGGAATCGAGCTGGGATATACTCCTTCTTGAATACCCAAACGAATAGTTCCCAAATAATTTAGATGTAAGTTTTGGATAGTTTGCCAACTTCGCATTTAGTTCTTCTAACACTCTAGTGGCCTGCTCGATCCAGTCTAGAGCAATCTAGGATTCAGCAATTCTATCCCCATAGAATTCTTCCGTTCCATTGTCCTTCAGAGTTTTGAAGGTAACCGGAAGAGGTGGTGGCGGCAATGGTTATAACATAAGGGCATTCGCCATTTGTTGAAGAAAGTTTTCCATAAAAACACGCATCACAAAGTCAGGTTGACCTCCAACATCTCCCATGTTTTGAGGAACATTTGATTGATTGTTCGGTTAGTTTTGGATTGGAGGAGTGAAGATAGATCCTTTAGTGTGAACACTCACGTGTTTGCTGTTTTGCCCTTGGCTCTAGCCTCATCGTGTGCAGATTCTTGACTCATTCTACAAATAACATGATTTCTTTATTTAGATTCTTCATTTGAGTAGTTGAGTTAATTAACAGAAATCATTGGGAAATACAACAATTGTATGATTATACACAATTGAAAGGATTTTGAGGAGAAATGATAGGATTTATTAATAAATGTTCACGTTTAGTTTAATGTTCGGATCCTCCTGAGTCCATAGGAGGGTCTTCGACACTAGATCCGCAAATGTTGTTTCCAGAATCCACACTAATTGTCTCTTCAGGGTCATTCCATTACCATGCAGCTTTACGGCGCAGATAAATCTTCAATTGTCTCTTCAGGGTCATTCCATCAAGGAGTTGTAGACTTTTCATTTTTCTTCCGTCTCTTGCCGAGTACGAAAGTTTGCCTTGAATCGACACTCGATACAATTTCAGTACTAACAAGTGTGATCTAATGATAATTTATTACAGTCGATCAATTATTTATCAAATAAATTCTCATTACGTTTCCTGGAGCAGAAGGATGCGAGAGTCATGGATGTGATTTTTTATTCAAAATTCAAATATATAAAAATATTATTACTTTTTTAAATCAAATGTTGATCCGAAGATCGGGTTTAAAACCATTTGCTCTGATACCAAATTGTAACACCCTAATTCCGTCCAAGTCTACAACCTCTTTCAAACTAAAATATCTAACATAGTAACGTAAACATTTAAAACATTTCAAACACTTCAAACTTTATTCCATCATAGAATATTTATAACAGTAACAGAGTTTATCAAATTGCAGAAGCTTTAATAAATAGTTTTACATCACAATTAGTAATTCATTTTTGAAATAATTATTGAACAGTTCAAAACCATCTCACATCCAACTCACATCTCGTGTCCTCATCTACTGCCATGATCAATCACATCATTCTTTATTTCGTTTACCTAAGTGTAACAATTAAAACACACTACACGCTCAGCAATGAAGCTGAGTGAGGATATATAATGGATCAAACATCCACATAAATTGAATCTTAATTCATAATCAAACCATTTGATATCATGCACATATTATTCAATTTAAATATTTAATATTCATAATGTCAAAAGTGTTCTTAAACTATTATAAATTTGAGAAAATTTACTTAAATAGAACTAAAACATAATGACTTTCCCAATATAGGACCACATGTTTTTATTTTTCCAGTGTAGGATCTTTAGTCATTATTCAAGTAAATGTCCATAATTACTCGACATTATTCCTCACACTAGACATTATTAAGTCTCATTTAAGGAATAAAAAAGTTTAAATCCTACATTGGGAAATGACTTATGTTTTAATCATATTTAGTGCAAATTTCACTATAAATTTAAGGCTAATTATTTTGATAACGTGACTTGTAAGCTAAAGTTATAAGGCTATTTTGTTTTGATAACCATACTTTTAAACTATAATTAATTTAAGGCAAATTTATATTGATAATTAGACTCTTAAATTATAATTAGTTTATGGAAGAAAATCGAACAACAGACTACTTACTGTCCGGGTTGGTGGTACCCCCAAACGAATAGATACTCAAGTTTTGTTTATGGATCCCATATAAACGTTTTAGCCTGAGCCATTGTACATCATATCCACTAGACCTAACTAAATTGGTCACATGAGGTTTGTCTTAGAGTTCTTCTAGGTTTCCTTAATCATTCATAATCATCATTTGAATCAGGATATTTATTTTTAATCAAGGTTCAATCATCATAATCAATGATCAATAACAATTACCATAACATTTAATGACAAATAGCGGCCTCGCTTCAAGTGTTAACACCCTAGCTTACCGTCATGCATAAATAAGGTTCTTTAATTTATCAAACCATCATACTTAGGTTGGAAATGGTATTCATATAGATTTATGGTTAAATGGTATCAAAAATAAGATTTTACAGCTCAAATATTAGGTTTGTGGGAAAAATCTACGGGTCAGACGGTACCCATTCCGTGCCAGGGTACCATCACGGTACCTTAGTACCGTCGAGACGATATAGGCTACCAGGTGTCTGGTATCGCTAAAGGAATTCGACTTGTGACGGTAGCTAGCTAACGTCACCGGCATTATGGCCTACCGTCCAGGCGGTATCTCTGTACCATCTAGGCGGTATCCAAATATCATTTCTAGGTAAGTTTTGTACAGTGTCATCTTTAGCCTTTGCCCAAACTTGCAAAACACTTTTTGAAGCTACTAAACTTCATTTTAACTTTACAAAATGTTCTCTAATATCCATAGACCATTTTTAAACAATTAATTTGAAGCTTTAACAACAATTTAAAGGTTTATGATTCTTGGTTCATCAAAATTATATTTTTTATTTTTATAGTACATTACTCAACCAAATGATCATTTATAAACATAAAAACCATCCAAATAAACATTCTAATTACTAGATACTGTTGGAACACGGGTTTACGTCTACGTCATACTAAATCGTGTCCGTTTTATGACAGGTTTTGATAATGCCAAACTGCCGTGATATAACAAGGTTAAAGTGAGCAAAACCAAGGCAAAAGAACACGACATGATGATTTGAGAACCAAGAACCAAGAACGAAGACTTAGAATTGTATTGAGTCGGTCTTAATGTGATCAAGACCGGCACAAACTTTCAAACCTTGGCTCTCTAGGCTCTTTTCATCAAAATGTTTTTTGCATATTCAAAAATGTTTTTCTTAAGTTTTAAACATGCCTAAAAACACTTGATTGAGTGAATCTGCAAGATCATCACAAATAGCCTTTCTCGCCAAGCGAGCATTATCTACGGAAAATACAACATGAGGGGATTCCTCAATAGTCAAAGTGCGTTTATTAAAAACTCTATAGGCCTTGCTACATAGAGAATAACCAAGAAAAATCCCTTCGTCCGACTTGGCATCAAATTTTCCCAAGATATCTTTGTCGTTATTATGAATATAACATTTGCAACCAAAGACTTGAAGATGGGAAAGGTTTGGCTTTCTTCCTTTGTGTAATTCATAGGGCATTTTCATGAGTATCTGTCGAATGACGGCTCGGTTTAACACGTAGCTCGCGGTACTCACGGCATCCGCCCAAAAATGCTTAGGAATTTTTGCCTCATTGATCATAGTTCTGGCCATCTCTTCGAGACATCTATTTTTACGTTCCACCACTCCATTTTGTTGTGGAATTTTCGTCACACAAATCTGAAAACAGATTTCGTTCGAACTCTCCCCCATGGTCGCTTCTTATGGCTACTATGGTTGTCTCGTTTTCATTTTGAACTTTCTTTAGAAAATTTTTGAAAACATGAAATGCTTGACTTTTATGAGTAAGACACAAGGTCCATGTAAACCTAGAGTAGTCATCGACAATTACAAACGCAAAGTAATTGCCACCAAAACTTTTCATTCTAGAAGGACCAAAAAGATCCATGTGCAAAAGTTGAAGCGGTCTAGACGTTGAAACAACGTTCTTAGACTTAAACGAAGCCCGAACTTGCTTCCCTTTTTGACATGCATCACATATGGCGTCTATTTCAAACTTAAGTTTTGGAATGCCAATTATTAAGTCTTGTGAAACCAATTTGTTCAAAAGGTTCATGTTCATATGAACTACCCTTCGGTGCCATAACCAAGTGTCTTCCTCATTACTCATGAGGCACTTAGCAAAGCCGGAAGGAGATTTGTCTAAGTTAACCATATATATGTTATCGATTCTATCACCACGTAGAATGACCTTATTGTCACTAAGGCGTTCTACCGTGCATGACTTTGAATCGAAGGTCACACGGTTTCCCTTGTCACATAGTTGACTTATGCTCAAGAGATTGTGTTTAAGACCTTTAACAAGCAAGACACTATCTATAGAGGAGTTTTCAGATTTACCTACCGAACTAATGCCGATAATCTTTCCCTTGCTATTATCTCCAAAAACTATGTTTCCTCCTTTAGCGGGTTTGATTTGGAGAAACTTGGATGCATCCCCGGTCATATACTTGGAGCATCCGCTATCAAGGTACCAAAGTACACTTGATGCCTTCAAGCACACCTATGAAACACATCAATGAGTTTTAGGTACCCAATTTACGTTGGGTCCTCGGGTGTTAGGTGTGTGATGGTAGTGTGCTTGATTTTGTGATAGGTGCCTATGCCTAGTGTAACAAACGGGAGCAATACGGCCTATCCTATTACAATAATGGCAAACTATGTTGGGGTTGTACATGTGCCTAGGTTCATAATAGTTAGAGGGTTTAACCATTTTGTTCCTATTTTGTGAAAACAATGGTTTTTGAAAATTTTGAAACTGGCCTTTTCTAGGTGCTCTAGCATTATTTCTTCTAATTTGAGAAAATTCGTTTTTATGCACAAAATCATTTTTTTAGGTTGTCTACCATGACCATTTTCATTCCTATGTTTTAGTCTAGGTTGTCTAGTGTCCTTAGGTTGACTAGGTTTTCTATTATCTTGATTTTTAGGTTTCTTATGTTGAACTTTAGATGATTGTCTAGGTGGTGGCTCAACATTTTCTTTGGCTTCATTTTTATTGAAACCTATTCCTTCTTTAGAAAAGTGCATAGTGTCAAGAAGTAAATTTAAGTCTTTGTGAGGAGTATTAAATTTCTTGACCGTGCTCTCAAGTTTAGCGACTTGCTCTTTTAAAGCTTTGCAAGACCCACATTCACTTGATGAACTTTCCGGTTTGTCAGCGCTTCTTTTTCCAAAAAAATTGTTTTCTTGTTTAAGTTTTTCATTTTCTTTTTCCAATTTTTCAAAATCATTTTCAAGTGTAGAAAGACATTTCTTCAAAGATTTATTTGTTTTAGATGCGCTAACAAATTCTTCATAAAGTTCATGAAGTGCTTCTTGCATTTCTTCAAAAGTATAAGAGTCGGAAGAAATGGTACATACCTCTTGGATGTCGTCGTTTTGATCTTCGTGCGCCATGAGGCAAAGATTTGCAGCTTCGTCCTCCTCTTGGTCGGTTGATTCGTCTCCGGAATCGCCACCCCAAGAGATGTAAGCCCTTTGCTTCTTGAAGCCGGGCTTGTCCTTCCCGTGTTTGGTTTTTGGACACCTTGGCTTGATGTGGCCAATCTCGCCACAGCCGTAGCACTTGGGAGGACCGTCGTGCTTCCTTCCCTTCCGCTCAAATTCCTTCTTCATGAACTTGTGGAACTTCTTGATGACAAGTCCAAATTTGTTATGGTCATCGCTTGAAACCTCTTCCACCGGTTCCTTGGTGGCTTTGAGAGCTATCCCCTTTTTCTTTTGTTCATCCAAAGACGGGGTTAGAATAGTAGATTCATAGGTTTTAAGATTACCTCTTAGCCCGTCGATGCTGACGTTGGAGACTCCAATGGATTCATAGATTGCATCGGCTTTTGACCTCCATTTGGGGGTGAGGCTTCGCAGGATTTTCCTTACGAGATCCTTGTTGGTATATGTCTTCTTAAGAGCATGAAGATCGTTTATGATTTTTGAGAAACGATCAAACATGTCGTCGATTTTCTCACCTTCCTTCATTCGAAACATTTCATACTCTTGGGTGAGAAAGTCGATCTTGGCTTCACGAACTTGATCGGTACCTTCGTACGTCACTTCAAGTTTGTCCCACATCTCCTTGGCGGTTGTGCAACAGAAGATCTTTCGGTAGTCATCAGGGTTGACCGCACAATATAACATATTGATGGCCTTTGCATAATTCTCAATCTTCTTGATATCCTCGGCATCAAACTCGTCCTTGGTTTTTGAAACCGTGGTTTCTCCTACTTTCTTCATTGGGATTTCCTCTCCGTTTTTGATGACCAACCATAATTGGAAGTTGGTGGAACGGATATAGATTCTCATCCGTTCCTTCCAATAGGAATAGTTGGTGCCATCAAAGAGTGGTGGCCTAGAAGTAGATTGACCTTCTCTGCATAGAGATTTCTTAAAGAAGAGCCCATGATCGCTTTTCTCTAAAACGATTAAGTTTGGACACGGGTTAGGCTTCGATACCAATTGTTAGAATAATAGACCAACGCTAGAGGGGGGTGAATAGCGTTTGCCTATTATTCTAACAAATACATCTAAGGTCTCACCTCGAGCTTAAATGAAGATTTTGAAAAATTCCTGGCGAAACATCCAGCGAAGATTGCGGCCAACTCCGCCGACCTCAAGCTCTCCGGACAACACCTCTACATTCTCCACACCCAGAGCAATAGAATATTAGAAGAAATGAAGGAGTTTTGTGAGGAATGGAGAGAGTTGAGTTCTTCCTAAATATAAAGAAGGAGAATGTGAAGCCAAAGGAGTTCTTGCTCCTGATGTGCGGTCGATCAGCGTGGTGGAGAGAACAAGGATTCTGCTTATTCTCACAACTCTTTCCTGATTGGGACTAAATTAGTTCCAAAGGTGTACACTTTTTAGTCCAACTTTCTCCAAACTAAAATTTGATTACGCCGATGCGATGAGACAGTCAAACCCTACACAACGGTATAAATTCCAAAATTAATTGACAAGCTTTATAAATAACTTATTTTTAGGTCCATCTTAGTAATTAATTAATTAACTCTAATGGGCCTATTTTCGGGGCATTACATCATGTGTCACCTCGATTGCGTCTGTTGTCATACTATGACACTTTGTTAGCTTATTCACTTATAATATGAGTATTATACACCGATACGTATAATATGTGTATTACACTTCCAAATATGATTTTTTTTGCAAGAACGTATAATACACATATTTGACCCCAAACGTATTTACGAATTTAATACGTATTAAATCCTAAAAAATCATTTTCTATCGATTCCTGCAATCAAAATTTAGGTCGTTCAAATTTTAGATTTGATCAATTTACTTGATTGTCTTACTCCTAAAAATATAAATCATTAAATTTTTGCGACTAAGTAATGACACAAGTATTAGAAGCTGGATCACAGTTTGAGTCATCCACTAACATCCTTTGTTAATTAAATATAATTTGTGGTTTACACGTCTCTTCAACTCAAGCCGGTTGAGACTTCAATACTCCAATCGCTCGAGCGGATAATAGACAACAACATCCTCTTTATTTGTTTATATTTCTAAAATGTAACCAATTTTTTGTATTTAGTTCTTGAGGTTAAATATCTATCCACATTTAAAAATATAAATTTGATTTCATTTATGTATCTGAAATTTCAAAATCTAAGTACGTAACTATATTATTCATTCTAAAAATGAAAAATATAAAGTTAATTTCATTTTGCTCAATTTTAAATTGCGTAAAAGGTTATTTAGTGAGTTCATATTTATATTACAAAGAGACTTGAATTCTCCTTTAAAGTTCATTATGAACATTTAATCAGTTTTGAAAAACTCAAATTATCTAATACAGAGTGATATAATTTTTGTCATATCTCAAATGTTCATTCGTGTCTAAAGACATGTTAGCTTCATTTTTAAGAACATATTATTTACTTTGATCGTATTTTGTGAAAGTACACAATAATAGTTAAATTGAAAGATCTCATTTGAATACACATGGAAAAAATGAACATATATACAATACGGAGTAAATTATAGTGTTGGTTGAACTGTTATAATTTTATGGTGTATTTATTTTTAATTTCAAAGTTTAAACTTTTTTCTTATTGAAAATATCTACACTCATTTCAAGTCGTGTTTTTGAAAACTCAAACGTATAGAACGCGAACGTATATGTATATGTACTCTGAACGTATAAAACATATATTAAAACATATTTTTAAAATGTGATCTGTATCATACACGAACGTACGAATAAACATATTATACTCGTATTCGAATAAGCTAGCAGAGCTATGCCAACAAATTAAAAATAACAATAAAATTTGGTGTAAATCACTTTGGTATACGCTACTTGCACAACAAATGTTTTACGAGAGACACACAACAATTGGGATACCTCTAGGGCATAGCCCGAAGAGCAGATGTAATGGCGATGTGGTTGGGTGCCATGCCATACCACCTTAGAGAAAAGGATAAAGCTACTTGTATTTCAAAGATTTGTACTTCCATATGTACAGCGTAGGTGTACATTAACATTTTGTATCGGTGTAATGCTAATTTTTATTAACTACCAACACATTATGTCATTGTAATTTTTTGTTAACACACCAACACTTTGTATCAATGTGTGATATTGGTGTATTCCTTTGGTGAAAGTTTGAAACACAAATTTTTGTGTAAGTGTAGCATAGTGCGAACAAAAATCCTCCATTTTAGCTTATTGCCACGCGTGTCATCACAATTTCACCACGAATAGTGAGGCTTGGACGAGGCACCATACTCCTATTTTTATTTATTTTTTTGAAGAGAAACCTCTTTTTGTACAAGAGTAGAGTATTATTTTTTATATAATAAATTATAAAAATAGTTTTTAATAAGTAAAACACATCAAAAAATGTAAAAAGTGACAAAAAATAATTACTCGCCGCCGCATGGTTTACTACTCTACTCATGCACAACTTACTGATTTAACTATTTTTATTGATTGAAATATGTCACGTTGCCGAGCGTGGTATTCTATTTTGGCTCACCATTACCTCTAAAAATAGGAAAATGCTAGAGTGCCACCACATGAGTGCTATCATGGGTGCACACATGCTTTGCACAGACAAACACAGACAATAATTGTCTGTGTCGCACAGACACTTATCGTCTGTGTTTGTCTGTGCGAAGAATGGGTGCACTCATGATAGCACCAATGTGGTGGCACCTAGCATGGTTCCTAAAAATAACCCCACGATGGTATATATCTGGAAGCCTGGAACCTTCTCTCCTCTTTCCCCTGACTCGGTCATCAATAAACCATTCTGCTTATCACAAACCATTTTGCATATCATTTCCAGAATTCGCATAGTCAATCTAGCTTATCTCTTTTGTTTTAGATTTTCTCCCTTCAGAAATGATTTTCAGATAGGCAGCCTGGAAGGCGGCGCTCAAGTCTGAACTCTGAACTCTGAACTCGAACACTTCTGTTCCATTGAGAGAGCATATATGATGAATGGCGAGGGCTGCTCCTTGGTGGCGTTAGCGGCAGCGGCGGGCGATAACGCCGCCCCGGATTCTCAGTCCAAGATTTTCGGGAAGTACGAGCTGGGGAAGCTGCTCGGTCTCGGAGCTTTCGCGAAGGTTTATCACGCCCGTGTCGTCAAGACGGGGCAAAGTGTCGCCGTGAAAGCCGTGAGCAAACGGAAGATTCTCAAGGGCGGCCACGCGGAGCACGTCAAGCGGGAGATTTCTATCATGCGCCGGCTGCGCCACCCGTATATCGTGCGCCTCTTCGAAGTCCTCGCCACGAAGACGAAGATCTATTTCGTCATGGAGTTCGCCAAGGGCGGGGAGCTCTTTGCCAAGGTCGCCAAGGCCCGACTAAGCGAGGATCTCAGCCGTAAGTACTTCCAGCAGCTCATCTCCGCCGTCGGTTACTGCCACTCTCGCGGCGTCTACCACCGCGATCTCAAGCCGGAGAATTTGTTGCTGGACGAGAATTGGGACCTCAAAATCACCGATTTCGGGCTAAGCGCCTTGACGGATCAGATCCGGCCAGACGGCAGGCTCCATACCCTGTGTGGCACTCCAGCCTACGTCGCCCCGGAGATCCTGGCGAAAAACGGTTACGACGGCGCAAAGGTGGACCTGTGGTCGTGCGGCGTCATCCTTTTCGTGCTCAACGCCGGCTATCTCCCATTCAACGACACCAATTTAATGGCCATGTACCGGAAGATCTACAGAGGCGATTTCCGGTGCCCGAAATGGACATCGCCGGATCTGAAACACCTCCTCCATCGTCTCCTGGATACAGATCCGGAAACCAGGATCACGGTGGACGAAATCAAATCCGATCCGTGGTTCCGGAAGGGATTCAAAGAGGTAAAGCCCCAAACGGATTTCGAATTCGAGTTCAAATCTGCCTATGGAGACAACAAGAAATACCTAAACGCATTCGACCTCATCTCGTTTTCCCCCGGATTCAACCTGTCGGCGTTGTTCGGCATAGTCGACACCGAGCAGCTATTGTCGGCACATCCGCCGGAAAAGATCGTCGACGGGATTGAGAAGATAGCCAGGGCGGAAGGGATGAGGGCGACGAGGAAGAACGAGGAGGGGGTAAGGGTGGAGGGGCATAATGGTAATATCATAGTTTTCGTAGAGATTTACCGACTGACGGTAAAGCTGGTAATTGTGGAGGTTAAGTATCCGCGCTGGGGGGATGCATCTGGACGGGAAATGTGTATAGATAAGTTTAGGCAACAGCTTAAACTTTTTCGTTATCAACAGCAAGTAGTAGCTCTCTAATCATCATTAGCTTTGATTTAAATCATTTTTTATGAGTAGAAAATTATGTTTAGATAATAGAAAATTAAATAATACCATGTTTTGTGAACTATTTTTGAAGATAATAATATTACCACATAACATAAATATGCATGTTATTTCTAAATAGTACAAAGCATATAATCCCTTCGTCTAACTTTAATCTTCTTATTTGGATTGGATACGTTTGTTAAAGAAAAATGTAAATGTCGTTTTCAATGCTAAATAAAAACATTTAAATTTGTATTCTTTTTCTTTTCCATGTTACTTTCAATGTCATTGTTCATAAATACTCTTTCACACTTAATATTTTATTATAATTAGTACATATTTCTTCATTTCATAGATGATAATATTTATTTAAATACAAATTATATAATTATTATTTTAATATAAAAATAATATTTATTTTTTACTTTGAAATATTTTAAAAGTTTATAAAATAATTATACTACACGAATATATTCTTTTTTAAAAATGGTTAGAAGTTCTTTTTTTTAATTCACTCAACTCAAATGAAAACAACTATATATACTATTTTGCATGGCTTTAGTAACAAGTGTAATGAGGTTTGGAGTTTAAATCCTATCTCCTAGATTTTATTTTATATACAAAAACAGAAAAACAAAGTTTCGGACAAAACCCGCGAGTTGGGTGGGTCAACCAGGTCCACTTAGTTTGCCAGGTGTGCCGGGTATGGTCGGTGTTAAATATGTTATGTATATATTTAATATTAATTATGTGATCATTGTAATTATGGTAGTTTACATGTATAGGTTTCCTTACGTAATTAGGAATCCTTTGTAACTATATATACGAGGCTTCTCCCTCATTATTCCTTAATATAGAAAATAATAATTCTTCATGGTATCGTAGCCTCTCGTTGCTCTCCGCCTTTCGTTCGACCTAGCGCAGGCAAAACCCTAGCCGCGCCATCGCCGTCTCTCGACCGTACAGCAGCCACCGCCGTCTCTCCCTTCTCCATCGGTAGTGCCCAGCGGCTGTCTCCCTCCGGCGGTCTCTCTCTCCGACGATCTCCCTCCTCACGGTGAGCAACTCCCCCATCGGTCGCAATGTCTGAGAAGCCTTCCGTCACCGACTCAACGTCATCTTCTCCAACCCCGCACTTGGCGTTCACGACGATCTCGAACGTGAAGCTCCATGTGCCGATTCTCCTAAGCTTCTCCGAGCCCAATTACAAAAAGTGGAGCCGGCTCTTCCTCCTTCTCATTCGCAGGTTCTCTCTCGGTGACTTTCTCACCGGAAAATCGTCCCCCTCCAGCGCCGATGACTCGGAATGGTTCCAACTTGACGCCCTCATACAAGGTTGGATCCTCTCCACGGTCAATGATGAAATTTGTGATCTTGTTCTCTCTACAACCAACTCCGCATCCGAGCTTTGGAAAGCCATCTATAACATCTTCCACGACAACAAGCCGGCCCGGGCGATGCAACTTGAGCACCAATTCCGCACCACCACGAAGGGTTCTCTCTCCATTGCCGCTTATTGTCAAACCCTCCGGAATCTTGCGGATTGGTTGGATGATGTA